TATTATTATACCAAATTTTATTTATATATTTTAACAATTTAAAAAAGTAGATCAGAGCTAAAAAAATGCAAAAACACAGGCAAATTTGCTTGTGTTAGCCTACAATCTAAGGGATAGAGATGTGACTATATGCAAAATTTTCTATAAAATTACCAATATATAAAAAATAAATTATAGTGATTATATAGAATATAAGATAAGTATGAATATTTTAACATAGTACTTATTATAGTACAGTTGCAATATCTTGTGATTCAGTAAATAAAATTAGATAATTTTTATATCATTGGATTTATCTTATTGAGATGAATCAAATGGTATAAAATTTATCTAATTCTAATTACTGGATTACAAATTATTAACCATAAAATTTATGTACACTATAATATTTTTATTATACTATTTATTATTATTTTTTATTAGTTTTTTAAATAAATATATCTTGTAATCCAGTAATCAGAATTAGATAATTTTTATACTATTTGATTCATCTTAATAAGATGAATTTAATAGTATAAAAATTATCAGATATTGATTACTGAATCATAAATTATTAGCATAAAACTTATATGCACTATATTTTAAACTGAATTATAATTTTTTTTATTATAAATTTCAAACAATTTATAGAATTTTAATTAATTACATTAAAAAAATAAATAAATTTTAAGATATAATTTTGTAGTTATCATAACAGTCTTATCAGTATAAGTATTATAAGCCTGATTCTCATAAATATATTTACATATAAAATTTGATTTTAACTACAAGTATATTGTTCTTAATCAATAAGTTTACTTTCGAATTAAAAAATATAGAGCTATAACTATTTTTTCTATAAAATTATACTATTTAAATTATGATTTGTAATAAATTATTATTAGAGACATCTTAATTAATTATATGCTCTAATAATAAGAATAAACACTGGTCTTAACTTAATTGGTATATTTAAAAAACAAAGATTAACATGCTTATCAAAATATAATTACTACAAAACACAAACTATTTTGCTTCAATAAAATTATAGATAAATAAAATTTACATCCTATTTAAATTATCATTCTTATAATTTTTTTTATCTTCTAAATAAATGACTAAAATTGAACTTGTATAAAACAAATTATTTTTTTATTATAATGATTTACTAAAAATAAAATTAAGTACACAAAAAAAATATTTGTTGTTTCATATTTATTAATCCAATTATTGAAACTACATTATAAATTTTGTAATTTTATATTTATAACTATCAAAACTCTTATTATCTTTTTTGATTTTACTGATATTTTAAAATACAGATATCATAGTTACTAAATAAAATTTAATAGTTATAATAAAGTTTTATATACTGTATTATGACAAAATAAACTCATTTCAAATAAATTTTCAAAACTTTGTTTACCAAAATAGTGAAGATCAGTTTTTTTATTTGATGCATTTTTCAATTATTCAAAATAATATACTTTTTTGCATAACATATCTAACTCTTCTGGCTTAAATCCATCATCACTTTTTTTTTGTTTCTGTAATTAAATAAGGATATTCAATATATTTATTGCTTCTAACAAATTTACTAAAGGTGGTAAAGACACTTTATCTTCTTCAAAGTTTGTTACTACTAGTTCAAAACTAAATGTTTTATGAATCATTATAAGAATTTCATTATTATTTATCACATCTTCTGTTACAAGAAGCTTATCAATAACTTTATAATATAATTCAAGATCTTTCTTAAGTTCAGCTGTTGTTAGGTCTCTGTTAAATAAAAAACAAAAAAAGTTAATTTTATAAATATATATATTTTTTAAAAAAAATAAAAATAAAAAATAAGAAACCTGTTATTAAAAAGGTCAATAGTTTCATATTCATCATTAGTATTCATAAAAAATAGCTCTTGCTCTAGTTCATTACTATTAGTTACATTTGAAAGTATGCTAGTAAAATTCTAACAATTTCTAATCATGGTGTTACTTATTTTATTCCATGAATGTGCAATAAAATTAATGACTTGTTTGATATTCAATTTATTATTATAATTTAATAAATATAATAAATTAATAACTATTAAAACTACATTTAAAAAAAAAAAAAAAACTTTCTTTTCTAAGTTGTATTTCTTCTCAAATAACTTTAAAATATACTGAGAATAAAATAATTTATACTTTAACTTAAAACTTTTAATTATGTCTGAATCCATTATTTGAATATGAGATGTTGTATTTAATGGCAAATAATATACTGTTACATTAGTTAATATAAAATTAGTGTTTAAAACTTCTGAGTCTACAGAACTTAAAGAAGTGTGTAAATATGCATTGTCAATAATTATTAGAATTTTTTATTTTTGATTATAAAAAATACTATCAATATATCATAGTCATTTTTCCTATATATTTAACCTTATTCATGTCTTTTTATTAGAATGATAAATTATTAGAAGTTAAGAAATATTAATGTTTTTAAAATACCATAGTCTTTCAGATTGTCCAATTACAAGTAGTCAAAGTTTATGTTTTCCAGTAGAATTTGCTGCAAGTAATACTGTAACTCATGTTTTGTTCTATTAAAAAAAAAAAAAATTAAAATAACATATATATATTGTATATAAAAATATATATATATATAATTAAGAAAAAAAAAAGACTTTACTAATTTTCTTTTATGTTGCTATCTATCTGAGAGTGTTTGACTAGGAAGTATGTAAAAAAAGAGCCCAGTTTTATCTGCATTATAAATATTATCAAGATGGTAATGAGATGTAATATCTTGCAGTTGTAGTCAAAATTCTGATAAAAATTCAAGTGGTACATTTTTAGATTCACCATAAGTTGTAATATGATAGAGTTGATTTCTTTTTTTAAATTTAGTAATCCAACTGAATGAAAATAATAAATTCACTTTCTTAATATCAAGTGTGTAAGAAACTTCATTCCTTTTTCTCTTAACAAGTGGTTACTTAAAAACATATTTGCAGCAACAACTTGTTGTATTCAAGTTCTCATAGCAAATTTAAGTCTTAAAAATTTTATAGACTTATGATAAAACTGGTTTTCAGATACACTTTTATCTTTTATATTTTTATATAACTCACAATTTTTTAAAACTTTTGATATAGTAGAATGGTCTAATTTTAAGTTTAAATATCTTTTTATAAACTTTTATATAATTTAATAATGTTTTGTGTTCAGATTTTGTTGGATATATTTACAATTTTTCTTTCATTGCAAGTCATCTAAACATCTATGCATTTTTGGAGCTTCATAGTTTACTAACATTTTTAAGTTAAAAGTGTGTGAATTTATATTATTTATATAATAACAAAATATGTAACATGTATATACAATTTTTTTTTTTAAAAAAAAATAGCAATAGTGCTTGATCTTCTATATGAACTCAATTTTTCTATTAAAAAAAAAAGAGATAAGTAAAATAACAATAACTTTTTTTTTTTTAATGTTTTACCTTATGTTTTTTTTTCAATATTTATTTTACATTGATGTTTTTTATTTTAATATTTTATTTTAAGTTTCATTCATCTTTGATCAACTAGATAAGGGCAAAAATTTGGTACTACTAGTATCTACTCTTAACAAAAATCTTTTTACTACATATATATTACTATCTAGAATAAAGGTACTTATATCTTATTTACAATCTAAGATAAATTATGAGATCATATAATAATACAAGATAAGTTTTTTTATTGCTATATTGTTATTATTACTCAATCTTTACTAATACTAATCTAATTCAAATTTAGAATAATTGACAGATATTAGTTTTAGTATTGATTATAACTTGTATATACTAATATTCACATATTCAAAAAGCATTGCTTTATATATTATACTCTTATTTGGACTAAGCTAACAATTATTACTAGACTGAAGGTGATTTTTATTTAAGCAGTTAAGAAATATATTAGTATATTACATATAATAAAGTGAATAATTAATCAAGATTGGTCAGGAATAACAAAGACATTCTGAGTAATTTACAATATTATTGTGCTAGAAGTTACTGCAGAATTAACAAGCTGATGGTTTTCTGCTTTGCTAAAGCAAATCAGCTATAAGCAGAAACATGTAGACTTCTAATGAGAATAGAGAAATAAAAGCAAAGAAATGAAAAAAAAAATGACAAAACTATATAATCACCCATTTTCTGTGAATAGGTTAAAGTCAAAGAATTTTCTTGTTTTCAGGTTTGTTACTAAAATAACCTTTATTTGTCATTTATTATATTTATGTCTTCCTTGTCATACCACTATTGTTGGTTGTTGCATTGTTCTCATATTGCTGGCATATGCTGTTGTAGATTTGATGTGATTTCTGTACTATTTCTGGTATTTGTGATAGGTTGTATAATTGATTTTCTTTTTGATTACATGATTTGCTATCACTTTGCATGAAGACTCATAAATAGAAGTTTGTCTAATTGTCTAATAAATTCAATTTAATTTTACATTATTTATACATTTTAGAGTACTTTTTAAAAAAATAAAAACTAATTATAGTAAAAGAAAAAAAGCTGTATAGAAGATTTTAGTAGAGCTATAGAACTTCATAACCAAAAATAAGATCTTAATTCTTATCTATTTAAAAAAGTTGATATAGTAACTACTTCTTAAAACCCGATAAAATCAACCTATTATTAAGCTAATTTTTTTAAACAGACAAGAATTAGATCTTATTTTTGACTATAGAAATTCAAATATCATAAAAAATCAAAATTAAGAAAAATATATAGAAACTTGAAATACTTATAAATGTGATTTTATAGAAAGCTGTTCATGTTTTAGATATTTTTATATTTTAAAATTGTGACTATATAAAAATTGTGATTTTATAAATAAAATTTATTTAAAATTGTTTACAGAATTTGGTGATAGTGCTTATATAGAAATTGTGACATTATAGAAAGAATTTTAATATAAATATAATTGGGACTGAATTTTTAGGTGAATAAATAGAAAATGTGACTATTAGGGAGGTGACTATATGGGAGTGCGACTGTATAACTGAATTTTGATAAAAATTAATTAAAAATAAAAAAGTTTTATTAGTAACACATTTTAATTTACTATATAAAAATCTTAGTTATTTAACTAATCCGATGTCTTATGACTTGACTTGAACTGAGTAAATAACCATAGTTCAAAAGTCCAAATAGTGATATTAATAACACTGTTTAGCCCATATGAATTATGAAATAATGATCTTTGCAGATCTCTGAAAAATATTGTAGCATTCATTATAAATTGATAACAAAATACTTTATAAAATTATATTCTCCTGAGGAAAACATGAGATGTCTGTCAATAGCATAGATATTGAGAATATAATATATTATAACCTAGTCATCATTGATACTATCTCTTACGAGCTAATCTGTCTGCAAATTTCACGAATTATTTGTATTAAACCAAAACCTATATCACAGTATATTCCAAAATGCGCATGATAGTATGAAAGTGTAAGGATTAGTTGCATATTGGGACTATATATAATTGATCCCTTTTTTCCGGATCCATGTTATTCTCAGGCTTTCATAGATCGTTTAAGATTCAAAGAATTGTTATCTTATATTGCAATTGAACTTTGATTAAAATTCAAGGTAATTTTCTTCATCAAGTGATATCAGTATAGCGTTCTTACGAAGTGCATCTACTGAACGCTTTGTCTTCTTCTAATCCAACAAGTTCATTACGTTGAATGTTTAAATACTTCAAGGTATTGTTTCATCAAATGAATTCACTAGTCGGTGTAGTGTTTCTGTAAAGTACATCCGCTAATGCTTTTCCCTTCTGATCTAAAATTATTCCAAATATGTTTCCAAAGAATTAATCAGTTGTATCGGTATACATACGTTTAACTTTAATTGCTAACCCAATCAACTTAGATGTGAATAAAGTATATTTAGAGTAAGAGTAACTATCTATACGTAGTCATTTTAGATATCTGAACTAGGGCTGTAAACCAAACTATTTGGGACGACCCAAACTATGTGACAATTAGTTTCACATGGGTTTGACAATAAGTAAAAAGTTGTAAATACCTAGTGCGATACTAATTGTCATTTGGTTTGGGCCATCCCAAATAGTTTGGTTTACAGCCCTAATCTGAACCAAAAATAATACATGATCAAATTTTAGGGGCTTAATTCCAGTCAGGAAGGCGTTATTTTCAGATCTAAAGTTAACATGGTTACGAATTATATTAATCAAAATTTCGGGTTTTCTCAAACATCTAGACTGCCTATTATGCAAATGTATATACATACAACAAAATTTCCTATTCGTATTCGTTAATTCAAAAAAAATAAAATATTTACACAAATTAAGCAAAGAAGTACCCGGTGGGTATGATACGTATTATAAGAAAAAATCATTAATATCAAATTTTACTAAGAAACCATATTTAGGTATCTTAAGTAAAATTGGTTAACACCTAATTTTTACATATAACTATTAAGGTTTACAAAAAAAAAAAGGTTATTTAAATTGGATTACTGGATGGCTGGAAATTTTAAATTTTATTCATAAAATCTACGTAGTCATGTACCGTATTTGCGCGTAATAACGGGGTGAAATTTCGAATTTTGGCCTAAATTAAGCTTAATTTTGGCCATGACTCGAAATAACGCTATTACACGCAAATACAGTAAGGTCATTTTCAAGGCAAAGACCCCAGGTTAGGGTAAGTTATGATAGATTAGAGCTGAAGGTGTATTTATATGTGCTGAACATTTTTACTTAAACAACTACATCAGTTTTCCTAATAAACTTTTGACTTTTGATTTTTTTCTTATATCCAGGTATATATTCACCAGTTATTTTTTAAAACTCTGATAGTGATAGTGATTTATACTACGTATAATTGGTTATTTAATTGATTCTACAATAACTATTAATTATAACATAACTTATATCTTTAATTACAATTTGTCACAAGATTATTTTCATATAGTATTATTGTGGCTCTTTGTTTTGAAAATACTCCTTTCATCAAATAGCAAATCGTCAAAATTAGAGTTGCTGATGAAATTGGTGACTTTCTAACATTTGATTGGCTGTTATAATAAATTTCACCAGTTTCACCACAACTCTAGTCAAAGCACCCTTATCTACTAGTATTTAGTAAAAATTCATAAGAAGGTTGGACCCAATTTAATTCTTCGATTAACATAACCACTATTGAATACAACACCCACTATGTTAACCAATCCGATTGTGGCATTATTTAAAACGTATGTATTTATATTTTTTTTTTTTCAGTCAATGAAAATTACAGTACTTTTTTTAATTTATTTTTTAATAACCCGCCCCTCTCTTATAAGCTACCTAATGTTAGACAAAGAATTAAGTTAGCCTGGCCTAATGGGTATTACATTTACTAATAGATTTTCAAACCGAAAATTGTTAAATTGTATGATTTTTATCATTAGACAATGTAATCTTGAACATTGTTGCCAATAAAAATTACACTTTTATTTATAAACCATTGTATTCCCAATGTAAATTACCAACATCAAACAAGCCAATAAATTCCCAACCTTGTTCTTTAACGTGATAAACTAGATTGAAAGTATAAAACAAGATAATGAGAACACTTGACAAGATAATGAAATAAATCATTTGAATCATACACATACTTCTGACATAGCCACCGGAAGCAGCATCTCTATAAGTAGCATGATAGATCGAGCGTCGACTTAGTTCAATAGCATCATTTGTGGACAATTCATAATCTAATCCACTATCTAACACACCATATGCAAACGTTGAACCAGATCCAACCGAGAACATATCGCCTTTAAACCGACTTCCATCAGAATCAACGTAGAACAAATTTGGACCCTGTAAAGTTTGAAAAATTAGGAAATTTTTGCTTTGAAATGATATATTACATATAATATACATACAGTTTTGTCCCAACCAGTAACCATTGTTCCCTAAATAATAAATGGGTTATACATCATGAAAATATCATATAATATAAAAATTATTTCAGTGTCAAAAATACCATTGAGAGTCCCATTCCTTTGTATGGATATACCATATTAGCCAATAATTTGGAAGCAGCTGCGACAGAAATTCGTTCTTTATTTCTTAATTCGTACAATCTAAATAATAAAAATAATATTTTAATATAATAATGTTTATGAATATTATTGATATATATATATATAAACTCACCGACATCGTCTACCAAGTTCTCTTTCCCAGAATTGACAATCTGCAGCACCACCAGCCATAGTTCCTAAAAGATATGGATTGATCTCGATGACTTTCTTTACGGTTTGTGATGCTATAATAAATTATTAAAAGGGACATGAATTAATCATTACACACATATCTAAAAACAAAAGTAGTTCAATAGTTCTTTTTTTTTTAATTACCGATATAACTTCCGGCCGAAGCACGCGAATCAGTGGCAACGATGATACCGCCTTGAAATTTGAAAGCTAGTGTAGTTGTACCATGTTCAAACTTGATACGGCACTCCGAATCGGACTTTTCGTCAGTACATTCTTTCAAAAATTCGACAGGCTATTTGATATGAGATATCTGTTATGCACTTATTAAGATATCAACCAATTCAAAGTTCAAAATATGTATACTTGCATTTTGACATGCGGGAATTTCGAATACTGGCTGGGAGAATTCTTTAACAGCATCATAAGGACCAAAGTCATCGAACATATTAGCTTCGTTGGCCCAAAGCTCTGTGGTCCCTCTAAATCTATTCACAAAAGAATCCATCATAGAGTTTATAGAGAAAGTAAAGTGACCCGTCCAAAAATTTACTTTACGTACGCTATCTGATATTGATATGTACGTATATACATACGTGATGTGCCAACGTAAGCCATCAAAAACGGGAGAGTTACACAGAATTCGTGTATATTGATATGTTGAATCAATTTCAACTTTCAATTTCGAGAGAAATCTTTACTCGATGAATTCTACCGCTTTTTGTGACAATACTTTAACTTCAGGGCCCACTGGGCATGGTTTTTATCCTTATGAAGCTAATGGCGGGTAGGTAATATTTTGGGATCTTTGGTGATCGATATGGAACTTTATTACAACCTTTGTTTTTAAGTCAATTCAAAGTGTTAACCCGTTCGTTCATCTTTTGTTGCATGTAACAGCACTGCAGTGGCAATTGCAGGAGAGGATTTTTGTGTGGTAGCTTCGGATACTCGTCAAAGTAACGGATATCTTATAAATGCGCGATATTCACCTAAAGCTTTTAAAATGTAAGCAAATTCATTATAAATTCTTTTTTTTTTTTTCTTTTACAAAATTGAATTTATTTTTAAATCAAATAATTTACAGGTCAGATAAAGCGGTATTGGCAAATAGTGGTTTTGCAGCTGATGGTAACGCATTAGTTAGAAGACTTGGACAAAGAATGCAGGTAAAAATTCAACTTAAACAACAATTTGTTGTTATGATTATGATATATTTCTAAATTAATTGATTGTCATTTATATAATTTTAGTGGTATAGACATTCTCATGAAAAAGAAATGTCAATAACGGCACTTGCTCAATTGCTTTCCAATACTTTGTACTATAAACGATTTTTTCCATATTATACTCAGGTTTTGCTTGGTGGTATTGACGAAAATGGTAAATCATATTTTTAAATTCGCGTAATTAATTTAAAAATTTATCAATAAATCTAACTAAAAAGATATATACATGTATTTTATTCTTATGTAGGTGTGGGCGTAGTATTTAGTTTTGATCCTGTAGGATCCTACGGTTCAGAAATCTGTAGAGCCGCTGGGACAGCTGCTGCATTAATTCAACCATTTCTTGACAATCAGGTAATAGAGTTATGTTATTATAGTTTATTTTTCAAGATATAATACATATATATAATCACTATGTAGGTCGAACTTAAAAATATGCAAATTGGAGAAAAACCACGTTTGTCCTTAGATCGAGCACTTTGTATCGCAAAAGATGCCTTTACGTCAGCTACTGAAAGGGATATTTATACTGGAGATTATCTTGAAATTTATATTATCAAAGGAGATGGTGTTACTATTGAGAATTATCCATTGAAGAAAGATTAAGTTATAGTGTATTGTTATACATTCACATTGCTTTTGATTTTATTCATTTGTTGATTGAACTGATTATAGTTATTCTAGTTTAATTGAATATTAATCAAGACAAAGTCAGATCAAAAGTGTTTATTTACAAAAAAAATAAAAAATAAAAAATAAATAAATAAGACTTTAAGATTGCCATTCCATTAGACCATTAGATCATATTAATAAAAATTTTATTCTTCGAATTATTCATTGATCATTTTGTCCATGTTTAATCACTCGATCATTACGAATAATAAAGTACAATTAATGCTATAGCAATGATTTGTAACGCGTCGTGAATAGTGTCGATCAAAAATAACTTTACAGGCACGTTATAAGAAACATAACGCGAGAATGATAAAGCGCTTGCAACTATTAATAAACAAGTGCGGAATAGTAAGAATTTGTTTTTTTTTAATGAAAAAAAAAGATACTTATTGAAATAACGCTTATGGTTTACCGATCCAAAGTACAAAGCTCGTAATAATTATATTTTGGACATCGTTTATATTTAATTCAGAGGTTACGTTTGTTACAATTAGAGTCAGTACGAATGTTGTTAATATGCTTGCCTTTTAATTTCGAATAATAATCATAGGGTTAAATAGAATTAAAATCGATTTTTTTTTTTACGATCAAGAATCGGAAAGTTGGATACCAAAGGTCCGGATTGTGGTACATCATAGGCAATAGCTTCTCGTTGAACCGGTGTAAAATTTTGTTCTCGACGAAGATCCATTTGAAGTTTTCCACAAATATTGTATGCATAATAAAACGATGTAATTACTTTATTCATCGAATTTGGTTAAAGCGTGATAAAGCGATTTTTTTTAAAAAATAAAACTCATAATGAAAGGGTTACCTTGAGAAACTATAATTGACGTTAATAAAGTTAAAATTCTTGGAAATTGAAATACAAACATTTTTAATGAATTAATTCTTGGAAAAAGGAAAATCTTTTTATATAACAAATTTTCTTAATCACGAGATTTTCAATAGCTATTTATTTCTTTTTTTGGATTAGTGCATTAAAAATAATAGCAATCATACGATTAGGTAAAAAGGGCGAAGGGGCGAACTTAATGTAACTCTAGATCTATCGATTCAAACTAGATGGTTTTTATACCATTCGATTCGCGAATCGATCACTGGATCACAAGCTATTATGCGTTCGAATGTCACACATTAACTTTACATTTTTGCGATAGCATTAAAATATTCTAGATCTAGTGCTAGTGTAACTGTAAAGATTATATCTCGTCAAGAGGTAAATTTTCATAGTAAATCGCGAATTTAGTTTCTTACTAACACTATTAACGAGGTTTTTGACGAAACATGAAAATTTGGTGGCTTTTTCAAAAAATCTCGTTAAACCTATAATAGTAATAATTTACACAATCTAGAATATTTTAATGTTATCACAAAAATATGTTTTGCAAAATAATATTTCATAACCTCATGATCGAAATTGAAATATAAAAATCATTCAATTTGGATTAATAGATCCGAGTTATATTAGATTCACCCAAACTTTGTGCAATGTTCGAATGCTGATATTTCCTGATCCTGTAATCAGAATCGAGAGATTTTGTTACCATACGGTTCGCCTTGATAAATGGTATAACAATTCGTTCAATTTGGAACAATATATGTATTACAAGTTATTCTAGATTATCTATTAACTTCACCACGATACCTTTCTACCTTATATACAATTCAAAAAAAGTTTGCATAGGACAAGTTTTTTTCTAATTTTTTCTTTGTTTAATTGTTAATGAAAATGAATTACATATATTTTCTAATTAAATATTACGAATGATATATTAATTAATGCAGAATGTTATTGCTATGCTATGAATTATATTCACATTTTCTAATAAAATTGAAACAAGAGATTTCATTTTTCATGACGATTCCGATTCCTCACATATTTTGCAATCTTTTCATCATTCCTACAGAGTAAATCTACACCATGAGTAAATATATCTAAATCGAATTCGTTTATCTCACATTTCCTGAAGTCATTTATGACAAGATAAGACAATATAGCTTGATCTTGTCGATGGTTTATCCTACTACTTCCCGATGGAGCTATACATTCTTTTTCAAGAGCACATTCATATAACTTATCTATTAAATATTGTGTTTTCCTAGTATCAAAAAACAGGGCGGCAGCATTACAATTAGAAAGGTTTACATATTTACTGGCATCATCATTAAAATACTTGAAAACGCCAGGATGAGTCCATTCATCCATAGTGCCTTTAGACATTGGAGAAAAAAAACCATTATATAATTTGAGAATTTCAGGAAGGTTTTCTAAGATCTTTTGACCAAAAAGAGTTCCAGTATCAGCCCACATCAGAATTCCAGGGAATTCCATAGAAATTTCTTTAAGAATTCCAGCTTTCCAACCATATTCACCCCTTGAAGTTCTATTTTTTTGAAGATCCCAAAATTCTGGGTATTTCGAGAAGTTAAAAGTACGAAGTTTGGTGAAGTATTTAACTGATTTGAATGCATTAAGATAAATTTTCTGTTCTCGTTTTAGACCCAAATCATAAATTATTATTCTTGGTTTTATATACTCTGGTAAAAGTAATTTAATAGTGTTAAGATGACTTATCCAAGTTGTTAAATGACACCAATGATTATAGCTTGCAGCTGTAACGATGGTAAATGAGTATCCATCTGGATTTGAAAAGTCTTTTGGGTTTGGTGGTGGGATGACATCAAATACAGTTATATTTCGATCATTATTGGTTATATTTTGATCATCATCATCAGTTATATTTCGGTCATCATCATCAGTTATATTTCGATCATAACCTAAGAAGCAAAGATTTATTAAAACGAAAATAAAACAAAAAAAGGTATAGTCCATAAATGTATCCTTTTACATGATTTAGTATTTGCGAAAGTATTTGAGAATATTAATGCCTTAGGGTAATTATAAAATTATTAATGAAATGCTCTCTATAATATAAATGCACACACACTATAAAGGAGCACTTTTGGACTTTCGCATAGATTTTTAAAAGGATACATTAATGGAAGGTTGATTTAACATAGATTTATGATAAAATTTTATTACCTTCTGATTCTTTTAATTCATTTTTCTGTGAAGGGTTTGCTTGATAAAGAAGTAAAAAAAAAACGAAAAGAAATATAAACGTAAATAATTTTAGCTTTCCGTGTCGTCCTATCATTGTTTTAAAGAATTTGGATCAAAGTGTTTAAAACTAAAACAAACTAAATCAAAATAGGTGCCTTTTTATTTATTCATTTATGTTACCCAATTTGGTGGATGATCTTTAATTTACAATGTATAGTATATATTTCGTACAGTATATTGTCAAATTAATTTTTTACATGTTTTTCGTAGCTAGATAAATCACTTGCATGTGTATGAATCTGATAAATAGTATTATGAATAAAGGACTTCTTTTTTAGGATTCACTCAAGTGTCCATCTAATTTCTAGCGTTAGAAAAGCGCTAATGACTCGACAGGATTTATTTTATTTAAATTCTATAGGTTTATAAGAAACATTTTACCAAATTTAGTTTGATTGTTGTTTAATTATCGACATCATTAGCGCTATATGCTAGAAATAGCTGGACACTGGATTCGTTTCTTGATTGCGACTGGTATCTTTGGCTTATCCGTTTTTGTCAGTGTATGATATCGGGAAGGTTGGTTGCACAATTTGTTCATAATTAACGAAAAATATTTCATGATGTAACACAAAATATTATATCAACTTATTGCTGAAACGACTAATGCTAATAAGGAGTTCAGCACCTTAAACCTCTAACCCTAATTTTGTCTAAGTTGAAAATTTTATTATATGTAGTGATAAAAAACATATAAAAGTTAGTAGCGGAAGTGTGTGCATACCTTTGTTTTGCTAATCTTTACATTTTAGCATAATCTTCACATTTTAGCAACGGAGCCAATAAACTTTTATAATGTAGAATTAAATACAAAATAAGCAATTATACGAAATCTATATATATTTAGTGTGACATTGACCATCGCTATCGCTATTATTTTCCTTTTACTAAATGGGCTCAACGTTAACCGAGCAGACCTTGAGCCGAGCCGAACTAAGTCAAGTTAATGCTTATGATTTGAGTGGCAAATGATTATTTTTAGGAATGAATTTTTTTAATGATCGATTACGTAATAATGTGTATATTGTGCGTTTGCGTAGGTGAGGTAGGTATAGCGGGGTTATAGTTTTTTAATTTGCGCAGATATTAGTTTGACGCACAACATATATTAGTTAAATCAAAAGTTTATCTCACAAGCTTATCGAGAACAGCTGTAGTGATTTTCAGGAGCGGAAATACTTTATTTGTACGAATGATACAAACCCAAAAAAGGAGAACGTTTAAAGCCGTGTAGTTAGAGTTACTTTTTTGATGCAGTTAGGGTTATTGACCTATAAAGATATCAAGAATGTAACTTACGTAGCACGTAATTATATATTAAATGCACATGGCAACGAACTTCAAAATAGTGATCCAAATCGTTAGTTGAAAAACCAACTAGTTGACAACTTTCCAACTAATCGATTTGGAAAATTTTGAATTTATAATTATCCGGTTCTCCGGATATCAATAGTAAATGTTACGGGTTTTCACTCTCATGCACTCATATGACTCTATTCTGAGATATTCCGTCTATTCGGGCAACTATAGCAACTAATCGATTGGAAAAATTTTTACGCTACAAAAAAAGAAAATCAACGTAAGTTCGTGAAATTAAAATTTTGGGGCTAGGACGTTAAAGTTAGAAGTAAATAATCATTTTTTACACACAAAATTTCATTCCCGTCATTTTTAATTGGTGCGCCAAAACGGGTTTAAATATTCGTTTTCTTGTATTTTCGCTTTTTTCTTCCTGTTTTCACTCACGTCGAGCTGGTCGGAATAATCACTCTTTACGTTCTCAGATTGGTTAACTTCTCCTTTTGGCTTTGTATCACTCGCACAAATAGGCCAAGAATGGTAAACGACCTGAGATGACCCAAATGACAAATAACTAATCATTGGGTTGATATTTGTCGGATTATCTGGATAACAATAGTAAATGGATCGCGGATTTATCCAGGTTGGAACTCTAATTCTAACACCCTTCAATCAATTATAATTGGTCTCCAATTTAGGAGTTCGATAATTTTTATGAGCAATTTGACCAATAAAATTATTCTATATGCAAATGACTTGAATGACCTTAATGACCTGGTTTTGATCAAATGGCCAGGTCATTTACCATCACTACAAATACTGCAAAATGATATTTTCTTAATAAGTTTTATTGTAAAAATTTTTAAATTGATTTGTCTTCGAAAGGTAAGAATATTAAATTTAGCCAGCTTAGGTAGTACCCACAATTGAATACGTAAATTGTATCAACTATAGTTTTAGGTAATTTTAAAAACTTGCATTTCACAAAAACTGTAATACGTATCGGTATAAATTTTTACTAATCGAGGCTATTTTTAATTTATTACTAGTATGTCCTCACACAAATAATCGACAAAGGGCTCATAGCACCAATTACAACTAAATTTTACTTAATAATTATAATAACGATTAATAGCACGTATAATTAAAATCCAGAATTAGTTTATGTTTAAAATAATTATTCAAAGAGAATTACTATTTGTACCCGATGGGTAAATTACTTGGTATATTAAAAAAAAAAACAGTAATATCTTAAAATTTTACTAATGAAAATTAGTGTAGGTACTCTAAGTAATGATGCTCGGCACCTAATTAACATATAACCGCGCTTGTAACCTAACCTAATATACAGCATATAGAGCAGTATACAAACATTACACCGGGTTGGCAATAGAGTCAATGAAACTAAATGGTTACGTGAATGGAGCCCAAAAAATTAGCATCCATTGGCTCCATTCACAGTCCCATTGGGATCCATTGAGCTCCATTGCCAACTTTGCCCTATGGGTAACGATAGTAAATTTCTTACTCAAATTAGTATCCTAAAAATTGATTAAATTTGGGACCTAAAAAAGGCCAAATTTCACAAATCCGCCGCGATGTTAGATGGTTCGCACCATAGTTTATTAAGCCGAATCATTTATTATAAATAACAAGAATACTTACAGCCCATTTTATTACGCACTTATAAAAAAATAATTGTCCACTTCATTAAGACAGAATTTTTCTAAGATTAGAATACCATTAATCAATAAAATGGATGTTTTAATATAGATAATAATATAAATCAAACATACATAACTTATCACAATAGTCAAAAAATTGTAGGTGAATTCGAAGGCGGAAACTTTGCCCGCCGAAAACAGCAAGCGTTTTTGGAAATCGTCGCCTACATTTTATGTTATCTTTTATTATATTTATAAAAATGGTTTGAAGGTTATGGGACCTTCTATATAAACTAACTGAAATTTATCAGCTGTGTTTAGATACCCGACACCGTCTGCACATTCACGTTTTATATGATTTTTTGATCCGATTTCTCCGAATTCATGGCATATTGTTGAAATATACCACAGAGACGTCTGTAGGTATGGGTGGACAAAAGAGTTTAAGGGTGGTTTTTCTAATGAAACCAAGTTAAGTAGTGGATTTCGAGCTCCCATAGGAAACGCCATTATGCTACAAAAATTTGAGTAAACATGACACCTATGGGCAGTGTTGTCATGGGACGCGGACAGCGGACATGTCCGCCAATATTTTTTTGTCCCAGACAATTAAAATTATAATAAGAACAGCCGTGTTAGCCAATCAGATTGTTCGATAAACAATATGACATGGACAACCATCACGGACATGAGACATTGTCCGTGTCCGCGCAATTTTGACGGGACAACGTCCGCGTACAAACTGCCTACGGGTGAATGCAAAAAGTATTTGTACTTGGTGCTTACAATGAAGGTAGTGTTCTGCACAAAATTCGTATAATAGATACCATTAGCCAATCACTTTGATCTAAACAGCGTAGATTATCAATCATTCCTCGTCGGTCAAATCTTGTTGAAAAAACTCTATCAAGAATTTCTGAATTTGTGAATATTAAGTGGAATTAAATTCTCAATTTTGTCGTCAAGCTCTTTAAAATATGATTCCGGAATTTTTGAAAGTTTCTTGAAATAGTTTGAATTAGGCCGTAAGTCTATTAAACTTTCATCGGGATATAATGTATCATGATGTTGACAGATGGATTTCATATTTTTTGAGCATTGAAGATTACCACCAAGCAGATCTTTTAACGATTTCTGATTTGATTCCTACAAAAAGAAATAAATTTATCCTGATACATTATAGATAAGAATTTATACACTACAACAACCATATCTGTTTCAGTAGTACTTGAAGCTGTTATTGTTGAAGATTTCTGCTAATAAGCTAGAATATTATAAAATTAACGTTTTAACAGTACAATTAATATCCGAAGATGAAAGAATATTATTAAACTGTTTACATTGTTATTTTGAATATCTTAATTTTTATCAAAGTGGTTATTCTCTTGAATAACCAACTCATCATTTAGTTCATCTAAACTATATACATTTCAGATTTTAGTTGCGGAAACTTATAAATCATTTGCGGTCCGCAACCCAATTTTAGACACTGTAGCAAGGTGCCGAATAATATCAGATTTCATAAATTAAGTAAGGTTATAACAGATAATGATTTTATAATTAAATAATTTATGTGGGTTGATCTAAAGGGTTTCGGGTTCGGTTTTTACCTTGGTTAATTCAACCCTTTAGAAGCACTAAACCCAACTTTCGAAAAATAAAGAATTTACCGTATTGTCTCGAAATAACGCCTCGGGTGTATGTTAAAAATTTGGCCCGAATTAAGCTTAATTTAGGCCGAAATAAGTTAATTCGGGCAAAATTTTTAACCTACACCCGAGGCGTTATTTCGAGACAATATCGATATTGTATTCAATTCCTATCGGATGAATAGAAATCATGATTTTGATTGGACGAAATAGACTTGAAAATTTTGATTCAGGTCTGATATAATATACGGTCGTCTTCCTCTACAGTCACCTATATAATCATGCCCTCTTTATAAGCATCATTTTTTTGAAAAATCATTTACTAAAAAAAAACTTTATATAACCACATTACTATTCAAATTTTATCATATCTTTTTATTTAAAAGAAATAGCGCTATTATATAAGAGGACGACTGTATATTATACTAAAATTTTTAAGGAAATATTTTTTGTCATAATGAAAAGTAGTCTTATAGACAAAGTTTTATTTATATTACATCAGAGACGAAAGGTGGCGTAGTCTACTTCATCCAATCAGAAACAGTATTTATATATGCCTAATCAGAAAATATTTTCGAAAACGAGAAGTAATTGTGCCATAAAATTATATGATCGAAGCTGTGAATTGAAAATCATGTGAAGGAGAGTTAAAGACTTAGTTAATCGCGGGCACTTGCCTCTCTATTAGTATGCTAAGGTTGGTTACGACATTTATGTGCGAGGTAAGGACACATAAAAATAATTCCCTTCTTAACATGATATCCCAAACAATTTTAGCCACTCCTCTGGCGAGGAGCCCTAAGGATAAGGTATAATGTAGTAGTTGTAAGGCACGAACTAATGAATTGTGTATTTTTCATAAAAACTGATACGGTCTAGCCCTGACAAAATTCAAATATATTATTTGATTTTATTTATAATATTTATGAATATATACTCATAATTTTATTATGAAGATTCATGAATATATATACTCATAATTATTATGAATATTCATAAAGATTATTGTTGTGCGTCAAACTAATATCTACGTTAAATTAAAATAACTATAACCTCGCTAATACCTACCTTCACCCTAAGTTTTCAACCTAACCTAATGAAATTCTGTACTTAAATTTCGACCTGACATAAATTTTAATTTGACACACAACATAAGCACTGCCTATTGGTTTCCATTTTTTAGCTACCGAGTAGAGGTGGGAACCGAAACCCGAAATTACAAGTTTAGGTTAGAGACATAAACCCTAAACCAGTGTTGTTAATTTTGGCTTCCAGTGGAAATTTCTAATAGTAAAAGTTCCAGTGGTACTATTAATTTTTGTTTCCAGTTAACAACACTACCTTAAACCATATCCTAAACTCTATCCTAAACTTGTAGTTTCGGGTTTCGGTTCCCATCTCTACTACCGGGTATCTACCTTTGCATATTATGGACCTAACGGTATCCATTAACGGTATCTACCGGTAGCGATAGCAATAATTAGGTAAAAAAAGGTTTTCTGTAGTATAGATGACTAATAAAATGCAGTATCAGTCAGCGAAACTGCACAATTTGAACACAATTTGAATCTCTATAGCCACAATTGTATAAAGTCCATTTGGATCCAAGATACGTTAGACAAAATGAAAGAGAAATATATTATTTCATAAATGTTCGTATACAAAAAAGCATATCAGATGCTTTTATAGTGTGTTCAATAAACATATTTTTAATCAGTAAACAAAAAATGAGAAATAACTAATTCAACAATAATGAAAAACTCATCTTTTGCAAGATGAATAGATAAAAAAACATGTTTAGAACCCATGAAAATAACATTCAGAGTTACCATGGTAGATGCAATGGTTATATGTGGAAAAATGGTAATGTTTAAGAATAGATACAAGTGTGGTTAGGCATGTAAATAATATCGATATATAAATAATAAAATTCAGAAAAAACGTAAAATCATTCAAAAACAAGCTTAGTCGCGTGATTCAATGAGTACGGAGGGCACTATGCATTGACTTCCATCAAAATCAACAGTTGGAATTGTTGGAGAATCAGGTCGTGGAGGCTGTATATGATTATATGAATGTCGTCTTTCACGTTCTGGTTGATCAGTACACGATATTGGTTGATGTGAATGTCGACGTTCATATCTATCTGGCGGAGGAGGATTATTTCGATCAACCACTCTACCAGGATGCCAATTATAATTTGATTTTTTAGGTTTTGGCGTTAAATTTTGTGATTGTGGTGTTGATTTTTGGGGTTGTGGTTCGAAAGACGGTTGTGGTTCGACTATTACTATTGATGGTTTTATGGGTGGGTCAGGTGTTTTCAGCGGTTTATGACGTTTACCAGCTACAAAAAAATGAGTGATATTAGAAATCGAAAACTAGAAATTTTAAAAAAAATTTTAACCAAAGAAACCAATCAATAAATTAAGACAAACCTTTATCTTCCTTTTGTTGATCTGCTTCAACATGTTTGGGAGCGGGTAACGCCAAGGTAGCCGTAGCAACTGCAATAGCAAAGATTGAAACTTTCATTTTCTCTCGGCAAAAGCTAACTGTACGAGAAATCGTTCCCTTCATTTTTATTAATGAATAATAATAAAAATGATTATAAAAGCTGGTTTTAGAATTATAAAAGAATGATAATAGTTTTTTGGTAAATTTAAAAATTTACCGAAAAACTAGGTCAGAATAATTATGTCGAGAAAAAAAAAAGCATAAGGTTTGATTTTGACTTGATGATATATTTATATGGATTCATGAAGTTAGATATATTACTTTAATACATAGGCAAAAAAAGATTATAATTAGGTAATAGTAAATGATACGTACGAACTATTGGTTAAAAAAATCTATTAATATTGTTTTAGTGATACAACCCTTGCATTCATTTCCATACGCGATAAGTTTCGTTGATTAGGACTGTTTTCTGCAAGAGTGCGTACCGCATTCAGTCTAAGGAAAAAAAACAGTCATGATGCAGATAAATATTCATTATTGCATTATTTTAACTTCATTGGTTTTAATCATGCGCGTATTAGATTTGTCTTAAACTCTAGAAAGAAACGAATGGCTCTATGGTGGTTGGTAAACGTGACGCTCCTGACATTGAAATTTCCAACGAAATCTGAAATTATCTGCCAAATTAGATTTAAGAGTTGGAACTTTATTTGAAGATATATCTTTTTTACCCTAATAACCTTAGTAACTAGCCATAATTTCGTCAATTAGTTCGAAAGATTTAACAGTAAATAACTTTTGATCTGCTGGTCCTTTATCACCAAAATGACCCTCAATGAGAATAATCTAAAGTCTTAAAATTCCAAATTACCCGAAGTAACAAAACTTTTCACATCTCGTGACCATGTGATCTAATTTAAACGATTTTAGAATTGTCTTATCGAGGCGGTCAAAATGTAACGGTAGCGTATTATGAAATGGTAATCCAGAACTCTGCCAAATGTTTATTGCCGATTACTTGTGTATATATGTTATGATTACACAAAGCAATCTGCTGTGCATTTTTACACATACATAATCTTGATTTTTTTTTCACATAAATTTCGAATAACTCAATAACTCGAACCCAAACTGCAAGTAATTAACATCTAGCCGACTATGCGTGGTGATTGAGGTTTCTGTACCAAGATACTTATTTGTCTTGTTTTTTATTATCGTTTTTTTTTATGGAGATGTGCTTAAACCTTGCAATAATCAATCCATAAACTACAATATTCGGTGCATCTTTTTTTTATGCGTCCAATTATCCCTTGCATTCTTTTTTAAACACATTTACATAATTGCACTTTAATTATCTTAATGCAATGTAAAAAAAATTTTATAATTAGTTTTAACGTTCCGAATTAACAAAAATATTTTATGCATTAAGTAATGTATAGCTTTACTAACTCGCTGTAAATTATACTACTCGATCATGCGAGTTCCTAGTGTTATCCACAAAAAAATTAACGTTAATGTTGCTAAAACTAAGCGCATATTATAAAAATTTATTATTTATTCAAACAATGAAAATAAGCACCACCTTAAGAAAAAATACAGTCAACTCCCGTAATGATCACATATTAAAATCGGAAATTCTATGTGCCTGTTGTGGGATTATGACTAATGCAAATAGTCAGGCAGAAAATTAAAGTGACTATAGCGAGATTATAATAAATACGGATGTGACTATTGTGAAAGTCGACTTTACCATGTTTCTCGATATGCACCAAAAAAAAAATTTATTAGAGTTAAAATTGTATTCTGGCGCACCGAAATACTTTTGATAAATCTACAGTTGAAGCCGAAAATGTCGAAAGCGCAAGTAAATTGTTTAAACATTTTATAAATGCATTTAGAAACAAATACGTATTTGTTTTTTTTTTTAAAAAAAAAAATGTACGTATTTTCGATTTTGGTGTGACGGAAAATGCCCATTTTCAGCAGTCAACTTTAATTAGGACACATAAAATATTTTCATGGCATTCTATTTGATCTTGAAATTTGAAACTTTAGGTTAGTAATTTAAATACGTGCGTGCGTACATACGTATGTGCATAAGATTTATTTTTTGTGTAAGTTACAAATTCGTGTCCATTATATATATGTATTACATGTTTATCTCGTATAAACATCCGATATTGTAGGACCATCAGGATTACAACAGATCTAATAAATTCTGGGTCTTTGGTTTCGTCCTATGAATCGTTTAACTTTCATTTACATCACTATCTTCAGAACATCGATCCGAAGGCTTCAGTGTAATTTCCAGAATGTTAGATGGTTATGAAAATTGTAATATATACTCTTATTTTTTCCTTTTTTTACTGTAATTAAATTATGGAACTACTCTTGTAGCCTACATACGGCAAATATAATGACTTATATGTGTGTTTGCACGACATTTAATTTTATGTAAGCAGCAATGAACTTTAATTTGTAAATAATAGTTGTAAGTGCTTGGAATTTAAAACTATGACTTCTCTTCGTGCATGTATTAATTAGCTTATCAACTTCAAAGTAAGGGACATTAATTAGCTTATCAAACTTCAAGGTAAGGGATATATTAATTAGTGTATCAACTCCAAGGTAAGGAAATTAGCGTATCAACTCCAAGGTAAGGGACATGAAATCCGTAATTAATAATTTGTAATCTCAACCAACAACTTTTTAACCATTTAAGAATAAAGAATACTGTATGTATATATAAAGATTATATATTAAATAATAGTATTTTATTTTACTTTTTTTAAATTAAAAAAAAATTTTATTAAGAAAATTATTTATATTTGTAAGATTATAAAATAGATTTTTTGATTTTAATAGTAGTAAAATTATTAGATTGGATTTAACGTATGGATCAAATTTTTATAATATACTTTTCAAACTGATCTAATTCTGGTCAAATTTGCTGATCATTTGGCCCTTGGTTTATCAGTTTAAAACCCATATCATTGGCCGTTTAAATTAAATTAATTTTAAATTATTTCTACAGTTTAAAGTACTTTTTTAAAAAAAATAAAACTACAAAAATCATTTATTAGAATATAGAAATAGTGCTTACTGCATCAACAATTACAACAATTTTGTTTTTTTTATAGAACACATAATACTTAGACAATTATTTTAATTTTTACTTAATTTTTTTTTAGTTTTTTGAAAGTGGTGTGAAGGATACACAGCTATGTAAAAATAATGTGATATAATTACAACACATTACTAATTTCACTTCTGGCTCTGAGCCATGCTAAAGTAGCGCAGTAGTATAACTGTCTAAAGCAATGCTTAGTATAAAGATAATAACCTAATAATAAGTAAAAGTATACTATACTATTAAATGATAATAGTAAAAAGATATAAACTTTTATGCTAAGTTTTTAAATATTTGTTTTACAAACAATTAGCTCTTTTGTATTTTATTATATGATAGTAATTTGCTAACCTTTATAACAATACTACTTTCATAACTAAAATTATAATTGTTTGTTATTATTTTATTTAAGATCATTTATTTTAAACAAAAATTATTTATTAATTAATAGAATTTACTTATACTAGATTTAGTACATCTTAAAATCTAGTTATCTACTAATTTTAATAAAAAATCGTATTTTAAAAATTATATAAATTTTTTAAATAATTGCAACTTGTATTAAAAATCTTATATTTTAAATTTTTTAAAAAATTTTAATAAACTTTTATATTTTTATTATTAAAAACTAATAAAATTTTAACTATATAAAAGTTGTAATAAAATACTTTAATTTTAATAAATTTTTTTAAAACAAAAATAACTTATTTATAATTTTTATTAAAAATTAAACAAAGTTATTATATAATTTTTTTTAAAAGATAATTTAAAAAATTAAAAAATTTAAATATTAAAAATAGTAATAATTTTTAATTAGTACTATATAGATAGAATTCAGATTTTATAGCTTAGTAGTTAAACTTTCAAGTTCTTACAAACAAAATTAATAATTCAAAATAGATTAAAAGTAAAAAATTTTTTTTCTGTAATTTTAAAGAACTAAAAAATTTTTTTTTTTTGTATTAAAGACTATACTTTATAATAAAACTTTAACTTTTTATTAGGTTAGTTATTACAACTATTTTATACAAAGATGAGAGTACAACTAGTTATATATGCAACTTTGGTTAGCTATTTAAGTAGTCTATTCTAAGATTCTATACTAGATGCTATACCTATAACCTACTAAAAAATTAGTTATTTTAAACCTTCTGATCATCTGTTCTGTCATGATATAACATCACTATATCCTTATATAAATCTAATTAGTATCAGTTATATGATTTGTCACACAATTTTGATTGAAATTTTTTTTATACTAATTTAATGTAAAATTTTATTCTAAACAAGTTTACTTAAAAGACAAAAATAGTATAATGATTAGAAACTGATCAATGATGCATTAAAGCTAAAGAGATCGATTGCATAATTGTTTAACAAATGTATGTAGCATAGTTAGTAGATTTAGCAGAAACTGCATATACAGTAGATTTAGAATAACTAGCATATTTAGAGTAACTAGCATATTTAAAATAACTAGCATATTTAGCAGATATGTAAATAATATATATAGCACAAAGCATTTGTAAAAAGAAACATAATCCACATATACTCTAATAAAGCATATGCTCTGCCAAATCCACGTTCTCTTTCATAGTAGTATCGTTTAACATTACACAAGCTGACCCAGGATACTCTATGAATAGGGATTTTTAAGCAAGCAATTATTCAGAGTATTACAATAGATTTTCTTAGTAAAAAAAAGTTTTATATAAAAAAACTATAAATTTTACACTTATTATATAGTAAACTTATTTTTTTACTAAGATAACAAGCTTTTGTCTTTTAGAAAAGTTGTTCAAAATAAAATTTTACATATAATTATAGTTTTATAATTAAAAAATTTCTTTATAGTAATATTATACAAACAAAATATATAAAATTTTAAAAAATTTTATATATGATTTAAGGATAGGGTTATGTAGATTATTTTTATATAGTAATATTTACATTTTTATCTAAATTTAATATATGCTACTAATAAATCTTT